ACACACACACACACACACACAGATGAGGGACCAGATGGTCGTGCAGTAGTAATGCAACCAGATCTGCATGGAACACCTGAGTTCACTCCCAGGGCCTCTAAATACACTAGGCTTATGCACGTGCATGCTCATAATGCAAGCTGGCTGAAGCTGGGAATAGATCATGATATGAGAACCCTATCGGGAGGCCTGTCTCTTCCTCTGTCTCTAGCCCCCATGGAAGAAACACATTTTAAGAAAAGCTTTAAAACACAGATGGGAGCAAATGAGATGACATATTCATACCTTTTCCACTTAAGAATATACTAACTTGATCATTTTTTCAGATTAGCACATTTAGATGTAACCGATTATCTAAGGAGTCACATTCCCTTCTAGGACCAGCTCTGTGGTCTGCTGGTTAAGACAGCCAGGATCCCACATGACCAACTGTACAGTTCGAATTCCAGACCCAGAAGTTTGAAAAACATTGTGGGCATGTCTGTGTGCATGTCCCAAATCCCAACAGGAGGGAGAAATGGAAGAGAAGGGACTGTGGTGTGACCATTCCCCAAAGAGTTCTTTCTCTTTTTCCCTCTCCATCTCTCTCTGGTGAGCATATATGTCCTTTGGCAGAATTTAAGAACATTAAGTAAGACACAATTTGTACTCTTATAGAGTCTGTACTAAGTATACTTCTACTAGCAGCATGAGGGTATCTGCTTCATCATTGCCTTGACAACATTGTGTATCAGCAACGTTTTTCATCTTTGCCAATCTGGCAGAGGAATCTCCCTCTTGCTTTAACTGGCATTTTCCTAAGCGATGTCTAACAATCTTTTCACACATATGTTTGCCAATTATTTCTCTCTTTCTATAAATTGCTTACTCATGATCATTGTTCATTTTTTTTTTCATTGTTAATTATTTCGTATTCATAAGACATGCAAATTAACTAAACATGTATTTTTTGGTCTTACGTATTACAGATGTCTTTCCCCCAGTGTCATTTGCCTTTGTTTTTATGTATAGTATTTTGACCTATGTAGAAATTTTTGCTTGTGTGTTTAAAAGTAATGTATTGGGTCATTAGAAAAGTCGTAACATATTTTCTACAGTTTTCTATGCAAAGATGCATCATGACTTTCCTGATGGCCCAATATATCAATCTTTTCTTTTATTTTTGTATTTTATTTGGGAAAAAAATCTTCATTCAATATACAATTTTTTTGTTATCATTGCCAGAGGGCATGCACCCTGGCCAGAGGGAGAGAGAGAGAGAGAGAAAGCACCCCTCCATGGGGCATGACCGCCCTAGTCCCTTTTCATCTATTTTCTATCCTCTCAGAATTCTGGGCACAACTCTGCAGTACATTCTGGATGGGAAATCACATTTTGTATGCTGTGATGATGCTTAGGGAAAGAATGTAAATTAAGTGAAGAAAAAATTTCAGAAAAAAATGCCTATTTGATGACTGCAGTATGATATATAGCCCCAGCTAGGTGCTACTTTATAGGATGTTCATTCTACTCATTGAGGCTTATGCCTAAAGTTGGACTTGTGTTCATGGAAATGTATATATCAGCTGTGCTTGCTATGAAAATATTTAGATTAATTAAGATATTTAGTGACTCAATAAAATGTGGGGGAAAAACAGTATAGAAAGCAAATATAGATACCAGAGACAGTGTGGGAGGAGAGTGGAAGATGGCAGAGGGTAAGAGATAGGGAATCAAGGATGGGAAAAAAAAAAAGCAAAACATATAGGAAACAAGAAATGGAAAGTTATTTGTTGACGATAACATGCATGTTGATGTGCTTCATTGAGCCAATATACAGTGTACTCTGGATGAAAAATCTCATTTTGTATGTTGTAATGATGTACAGTGAATGAATGTAAATAAATAAATTTTTTAAAAAAAGAATTCTGGGCACACATGCACATGTTTCCAGAGTGCTCTTCAAGCTGCCGGGCTTGAAGTTGAGTCCTGAGTCACGGTTGGCCACATGGGATCCAGTTCCCAATGCATAGCACTAAACCACTACACCATGGGGCTGGCACTTCAAAATAAACATTTAAATGACCAGCTGGGTTTTTTTTTTCCACGTTCCTTTAGTTTCCATTTTAATTTTTTAAAGTGTTTTTTTTTTTTTTACATTTAATCTGTATGTATTGTATAAAAAATGAAGGATCCAACTTTCTCTCCCAAGTAACTAGATATTTGTCCCAACTCTACTTATTGAATAATTCAGCTTTCTCTCACTGGTTGGAAATGCCAGTCTGGTCATTTTATATTTGTACTTGTGTCTTCAGAACTAACATATGTATTCAAGTCTCGTTTTGTAGATCAGCAAGCCAAGTCTAAGGGAGGTTATGAACCTCTCTGAGGTTAGTCACACAGATAATAAGCAGCAGAGCTGGGATTCAAACCCTGTCCTTCTGACCACAGAGCTGCTGAGCTATACTGAGCATTTTATTTAAAAAGAACATTACAAACTTATAAAGCTTACAGTAGTCTCAGGCATTGTCTATGTGTATGAAAAGGAAGGGTTTAGTCTTTTCATTTCTTATTTATTAGTTTGCTTGTTCTAAAGAATACCAAATCAGAGCCAGACTCTGAAAGAGACAAAGTGAGGAGTCATAGATGTTCAAGCTTAAAATAGTAATCTGGGTGTATGAGACCCAGAGCCACCAACAATTTAGTGTCCAGACCATTGGTCACAGCTCAGACTTGCCATTCATTCATTTTTTTTCAATGTTACAAATATTTATGAACTTAAAACCGTTAGTGTGCAATGAAACATATGCTGAATACATTTCAAATAAAACACAAGCAACCAATCAGAGACGTTGATGCAGCTTGCTCACTGCTGTGTCAGGGCTCCCCTGCCTCAGCCTCCTGAGTCACCGCGATGAAAGGTGGGTCCTACTGTACCCAAGGCCTGCCTTATTCTGGGTGAAGTTAACAGGTATTCTAACTGGCTGATTACCAGGTTAATCATGCCAATAAGTAGAAGCTTATGCATTTTGGATGTCCTTTTCACTTTTTACTATGGAAAGATATTAGAGGTATGGGAAGATTTCAGGAGAAAAGAAGGGATGAGGGAAGGGAAGAGGAAGGAACCAGTGAAGTAAGTTATTAGAATAAGAACCAAGTTTGGGTGCAGAGTAGAGAGAGGTAAGGTGGTAAGGTCTGGAAAATGGGAAGAAATGATTGCTTGATGAAGTATGCAGCCAGAACTTAGAAACACTGACCAGGCCTTTGGGCCACTGGTGGAATTGCAATTCAGTATTGCCTAAGTCTTCTGGCCTGCCCGAGCCATGTGTCAGATTTTCTAAAAGAGTTTGAGACTAGAAGCAATTCAACTAGGATGGTAATCAACTCCAGATAAGTATATTTAAAATGATATTTTTCACAAACCCCTCGGGATATCATTAAAGATGGACATTTAAAAGTACAATTTCAATGAAGCTCAGAAAAAGAGGAGTAAAGTATATACCACACTATAGATCTTGTCCTAAACGCCGGGCCATCAGAGTGGCTGCCCAACTGTCTGTCAAGAGGTGGACTGCTTGTGATCCTAATGCTGCAAGGATGATGGCTCCTTCAAAGGACTTAAGACATTCTAAAGACCTCCCAAGACAGTACTGCCTTCTACTCTCAAAGGTTCATCTCTGGCTGCCTATCCCTAAGCAGGTGACTCTGTTTTCCATCCAGCCTCTGGGCATCTCACACTCAACCACCCCTTGAGCTCTACGGGCAGAAGATTCATTTCTCTATTCAGCCTCCTGACCCATTCCACACTACAGAACCTTCTCAATAAACTCACAGGAGCGCCTCCTCTTCTCCTCTCCCATCTTCACCCTCCACATATTCCCCCCGCATACACATTCCCATGTAGGTCGACTCAACGCTATGGTCCAAGAGTCCATGGATGGTGGGAAGCAAAGTCCAAGACTCAAGAGGTTGAAGAAAGAGCTGGACACTCACCAAGTGCAGGGTATCAGCTTTCTGTGTCTGCCTCTGCCGGCTCTTCTGGGCTGCAATGCGGTTTTTCTCCCTTCTCTGGACTTTTCTCACATCGTCAGATGAGTCCTTGGAAGCAGAAATGATGAGAATTAGGTGAATCAGCTCCTGGCTTTCATAGAGCTGGGTATCCATCTATCCAACCATCCAGCCTTCTGCACCTTCATCTTTTCATACACCCAACCACCCACCCTGTTTACAAAAGCCTGTACCCAAAGGAGAGCTCTTCCCCACACCCTAATATACATCATCAGGACCTCGCGACATTTTTTGGCCAAAAGCTACAGGAAGAAGGCAAGAGATCTAAAGGCCTCAATAGGGTTGTGTTTGGCAAAAATGGTTAAGGTGATGAAGTGCGTTTTATCACCTCTCCTCCTCTTCAGGGCTTCTCTACCATAACCTTCTCACTTCTTGGGCTAGAACCTTCTAGCTGTTCATTTTGCTGTTTTCTTTTTGAAAAAAACTGTGTTGCGCATCTATTACATGCCAACCTCTGTGCAAGTGCTATTTCAGAGGTGCTCTTGTTTAATGCCTCAATTCTGTGAAGTTGATATCATTATTTCCATTTTATATGTGAGAGAACCAAGGCTCTAAGATCTTGCTCCAGAGCTCACAGTAATCTGAAAGCGCCAAGGCTTCTGGCTTTGTGCCCCTGCCAAGAGATCTCACCTCTTTGTACCTCATGTGGTTTTCTGCTAACACTGCAAGGATGATGGGCTCCTCTGAAGATTTAAGACATTCTAAAGACCTCCCAAGACAGTACTGCCTTCTACTCTCAATGACTCGTGAAGGAAGAAGCTTTCTCTGGCTGCCATCCCTAAGCAGGTGACTCTGCTTTCCACCCAGCCTCTGGGCTAAGGGACCCATCCTAAGTCTGCCTCTTCTTTCCCTTCACTTCCTTCATTGAACTCAGTCACCTTGCTATTCCCCATGGCCCCAAGCATAACACCTAGTACAAGCTAGATGCCAAGAAGAACAACATCGATGGTGGAGTTCCTCACGGCTCTCCTCCCTTGTGCAGGACTAGGAAGCCTGGTTGTGCTGGTTCTCTAATTATACCCCATAGATGGACATGTCCTCTGCTTGGACAAAGGTTAACTCTAATTTACCCCCAGAGGCTGCAAAATACACGGAGGAATCTGAGTGAAGCCCTTCTGCAACTCTTGCCCTTTTCCGTCTCACATCCCCCTCAGGTTAGAACCTAGAGCAAGGCTCTGTGTGGACCAAGCCTAAGTCTCACCATCCTGTCCAATGCTTCCAGGCCATTGCAAAGGAGGGCATTGGCTTAGATAGGAAGGAAGTGCTCTACCTCTAAGGGACAACGAGGGGAACCAGGTTTCATGGAAGCCATGAGTAATTTCCTTCCTAAGAAGACTACAGACTTCCAGGCGGTCCGAGCCGCCCTAACACCATCTTGAGTAGAGGTCTGGATTGTTTGTCCTTTAGAGGTCACCACTAGGACTTCTTCCAACCTGCCACTCATTAATACACTCTTGTTACTAATAGATGCTTATGATAGTGCTATATGGGGTGTTGATATGCTTTTATTTTTGCTACAGCATTCTGAAAGCCTTCTTGGAAGTCCGTGCTAGGGAAACAATGCAATTTCTAAACCACAAAGGGAGAAAGCTTTCAATCCACTGGTGCACACTGAATAAGAAAGAGGGGGATGTACTATGGCGAGGGTTGTGGGCAAGTAGGGAAGAGAAAGCCCAGAAGCTGTGAGTGAACAGGCTCTCCCATTTTTTCGGCATCCCTGAAGCTGAGAATTTCTGACTTAGAAGTCACAATTTGACCCCAAATGCTCCTAGAATCCCTACTTCCATTTTTCTGGCTTCCCCAGAGCTGGGGTGGGCTACTAACAAATGTCTCCAAGTTTTCATTCATTCATCAGGGGACTTCAAAAAGTTCATGAAAAAAATGGAATTAAAGTACGCATTTAAGTTGATAAAAACCATTTGAAATCCACACTTAGTTTTTAAAAACAAGGTGCATTTTCATGAATGTTTTGAAAGACTGTCCTATTTCATTCTTCCTTTCCAGAAGCCACAAAGGTGGGAAGTGTTGGCTATGGCCCCAGCGTCCCTTCCTGCTGGCCATGCCAGCTCAAGGCAGTGCCCCCCATAGACAGATCTTCCTCTGCTAGCTCAGGTTCCCCCTCCTTCTAACTTTCTAACTTGCTTCTTTAAAAACAAAGCAAAACAAAAACTTTTCCCTATTGCCTCTTTCCTGGGAAACTACATATCTAGGATTTGGGCTGCCATGTGCAGCACCCCCGAAAGCAGCTCCTCTCGGAGAATGTGCAGACCCTTTCCTCTGAGGTCTTTGATGTTTGTCCTCCTCTTTGCTTCCTAGAAAGCTTCATGTAGGAGCCCCAGTGAAGCAGAGGCAATGGGCCCCCTGGGGGATGGAGAGGCAAAGGGGCTTTGACAGAGTGGGAGGACGGGATGCAGGGAGGGTCTCTGCGGATATGCACAGTTAATTGCAGATGCCCTGGCTAACTGTTTAATACTGTGCTCATGCCACAGGCCACTTTCTTGTGCCTTGGCTCCCTGTGAAGACTAGGAAGCCGGGTCCTCTTCCTGCCCCCCAGGAGAAGAAGAAGGTGGGAGAGAGAGAAAGGAGAAGCTACCTGTTTGCCAGGGGGAGGCGAGCGGCTGAAGCTGGAGTCACTGCTGTCGGAACTGTGAGGCATGGCTGAGATCTTCCGGGCTCTCCACGCAGCCCCAGTCACCCCAGGCCCTCTGGTCAGCAGCTGGCCACCCCACCTGACTGCTCCTGGGCCAGCAGCCCACCACCCTCCCAGGCACCTCCTCTGTGTGAGCTGCAGCCACCTCTGGCCCCTGCGTCCTCCTTGCTCTGAGGTGCAGAGGGACTGCTCCCCAAAGGGACATGTCGCTCACGTTGGGGCTTGCGCGCGCTCTCTCTCTTGTGGTTTCTGGTAACTCACGCTGGAAGTCACATGTGCGGAAACTTCAAGTTAGAAGTTAATTTGAAAAAAAAAAATACAGATCTGGGACAAGACCCACAGCATTATATGAAAAAAAAAAAAAAACTACGCAAAACCCCAGATATCTTCCGACAGTTTGAAAGTATCGGCAGCGCTCTTCAATTGATGAAAATAAAAGAGAAAAACAGCCCAGGCAGGGAAAAACCCCAGCCATAATTAGCAAGCTCGTCTTCTGTCAACACTGGGCAGAGAGGAGAGGACAACCGGGAAAGAGATTCCATTGTCCATTGTCACAAGGCTGATTTTTAAACCAAAACAAAGCAGTGAGCCTGGGATTTCTTTCTGGTTTTCAGCCGAAAACAGCTGCCCATCCTGCTCCGTGTTGGGCTTCCCTTGCTCCTCTTCCTGTCCAGCCAGCCTGGGTGATCAGGACCTAACCAGTGGCCCAAGGACATTGTACTGTCCTGTCCATCAAACTCCAGAGGCCGTGGTAGGTCTGAAAGCTGCAGTGGAGGCTCTGGGTCAGATGCTCTGAACACTTCTTCATCACCTGTGCCACTCAGAGGGAGGCTCACACTCTAGAGAAAAAATGCCTTCTACATTGTGGGTCTTAAAAAAAAAAGTGTATTTATTTCTTCCATGAGTGGAAGAGACATAGAGAGGAAATAGAGAGACAGAGAGAGAGACAGCATGCCCAATAGGGTTTTTTTTTTCTTTTTTTTTTTTTTTAAAGAGGTTGGGAAGTCTCTCTCTCTCTCTTTAAATTAATTAATCTAGGTATTCCAGGAATGAGAGACAGAAAGACAGAAATAAAGAGATAGCATCCTGAAAACAACAGTTACCATAACGGCTATGTCACTGAGCTCCCATGTAGTTGACTGCGGTTCGAGTCCCGGACCTGGTAGCTTAAACTCACACTTAAACACACACGCAAGGCATGTGTGCGTGTGTGCCCAAGATTCCAAGAGGAGAATGGAAGAGAAGGGATTGCAGTGTGGCCATCCCCCCAAGGGGGGTGATTTCTCGCTTTCTGTCTCTCTGTCTCTCTCTGTCTTTCTGGTGAGCGCACGTGCCCTATAGCAAAAACCTCTCCAAAAAAAAAAGAAAGAAAGAAAAAAGAGCATCCCCAGTAGAGTCTCAGTGCCCCAATTCATACCAGCTCAGTCAGCCCTGGATCACTGTGTAATGGACCCAGGGAGGTCTCTGGACTAGCACCTGAAACCTTCCCATGTGAGTCAGCCTTGCAGAGCATCATGTTTTCACCACTGCACTACTGGTTAGTCCTCATGTTATGGGTCTTTCAAGAGTTCAAGATTGAATCATAAAGATTCAGTCACCAGGTCAGAGCCCAGAAGGGAGAAACAGGAAAAAATAAGGAACAGAGCACTGCACTTGCAGTCAGGCCAACTGTGACGTGATTTCTGTCTCCACCACTTGGATGTGTGTGTTCTTTGGCAACTCCCTCCAGCTCTGTCACCTTCACTCCCTTCATTCATAAGCAGGGAGGATAAAACCTGTGCTGCCTACCTCTCAGGGCTGTGGCAAGGAACAAATAATAACACGGGTTAGGATGCCCTAGCAAGCCATAGAGTGTGCTACCGAGATTCCTGTTACTTGGAGTGTATTGCTAGCCTTGCCATGAACACACCTGTGGAGTTCTCAGTGAGCAACTTCTCACCTAGGTCTTTTGGCGTTTTGAAATACCCTTGCATTATTCTCAGTGTGGCTCAAATCCAAATGTGTGCTTTGCATAATCTTAGGATTGACAGGTAGGTATGGCCCCTAAAAGATTTTTGTACCCATGAGGTGAATTTCTGACCTAAGATAATATTGTCCTAAGAGTAAATTGGGGGAAAAAAATTCCTCCCCCTATGGAATTTATAATTAATAGGTGAGGAAAATAGTAAACAAAGAAGTTAAATACATCAGAGAGTGAAAAGTGCTACAGAGAAAAATAAAGTGGGGTTTAGGGCTAGAGAATTCTGGGGGTCAGTGGGTTACTATTTTTCTAGGGTGATCAGGAAGACCTTGATGAAAGGGTGACATCTGAGAAGAAACCCAAAGGAAGGCAAGGAGGGAATAGCGTGGCTGTCTAAAGGAAGAACATTCCAGGGAAGGGCATCAGCAAGGACCTGACCTGGGAACATGCTTGCAGTATTCAGGGGACAGCAGGGAGGACAGTGTAGCTGCATCAGAGAGGCAGTAAGGTTGGAGGTAATGGGTCAAGCTTAGGTAGAGTCTGGAGGTACCACGAACATTTTAGCTTCATTCTGAAAGACGTGGGAGGCAGGTGGCAGCTTCACCTTCACTCTTATCCTCTACCTCAGTGACTGGTCTTTTCCTTCATAACACTTATAGATTTTATAATTTTACTAGTTTATCTACTTGTTTTTCATGCTTCTCTCCTTGGACTATTGACTCTATTTATGTAATTAAACTCATTCAACAAATGTTCATTAATCACCTAACCCATGCTGGGCAATGTCCTACACATTGGGATGACAGTTAGTGGAAGGTTAGACTTTTTCTGTGAATGAGATGGTATATCAGTTAGTTCTTGCTACCTAATAAACCATCAAAAACCTTGATGACTTAAACCACTTTTTAGCTCATAAATTCATGGTCTTCTGGAAGGTCCTTTTGGTATAGGCTAGGTTAGGCTGATCTCAGCTGGGCTTAGTCTTCGGACAGCTGGTAATTGACTATCTGGCATGGCCTTTCCTAGGATGATTCTGTTCCACAAGGTCTCTTATCCCCCAACAAGGCTTGTCTGAGCTTGTTTACATAGCAGTTGCAGGATTTTGAGAGTGAGAACAGAAGCAGTCAAAGCCTCTTGAGGACCAGGCTCAAAATTTGCACAATAAATCTACCACTTTCTATTGGCCAAAGAAAACCCAAAGACTAACCCAGACTCAATGGATTGAAAAATAGACTCCACCTCTTGGCAAGAGCAATGTAAAGAATTATGACCTTTTCTTCAATCTCTTGCAGATGAGAGGCCATTGGAAGTTTTAGAGCAGAGGAGTGACATGTTCCAACTTAGGTTTTAGCATCTCTAGACACAGCTGAGTCTTTTTTTTTTTAAAGGTTGTTGCCATGGGGCATATGCACTCCTCAGAGAGGACAGAGGCAGAGAGAGACATAAAAAGAGAAAGTGAAAAAAAATCATCCCCCCAGGAGCATGGCCACACTGTAATCCCTTCTTTTCCATTCTCCTCCTGAGATTTTAGGCATACTTGCACATACACCCAGCATTATTTCCAAGCTATCAGATCCAGGGCTTGAAACTTGGTTGGCCATGTGGGAGTTTAGTGCCTTAACCACCACCACTCCACCTGCTGGCCCCACAGCTAAGATTATTGTTTTTTTTCAAGAGAGATTTTTGCTATAGGATGTGTGCACTCACCAGAGAGACGGAGAGGCAAAAAATGAGAGATCCCCCCCTGGGGGGGTGGCCATACTGCAATCCCCTCTCCTCCATTTCTTCTTGGGATTTGGGCACACGTGCACATGTGCTTGGCATAAGTTTTAAGCCACCAGGTCTGGGACTCAAACTGTGGTCAACTATGAGTCCAGCCACATAACCATTACATCATCTGCTGCTCCCCCCAGAGTTGAGATTTTTACTATAGGGGAGCAAAGTAGGAGTAGGGAGACCAGTTAGGATACAGTATTAGATTATCACAGTAATCCAAGCCCGGGTCCTGGCTGTGACACCATGGTAAAATGCAGCACTGTGAGGTTGGCCCATGTTGGAAGGTTTGAGGTCTTCCACTAGAAACTCCCCTGAGTCTGCCATGAGTGTACATGCCACGATCCTCTTTGAAGCTGAGGATGTACCACAGTGTCAAGGGCCTTTTGGGGATGCCTTCCCTTGTCATTCTGTCTCTACCCCCATGTTTCTCTCTGTCCTTCTTGCTATGGAAAAAATACACTTAAAAAATATTATGCATTTAGTTAATTATATTTACTACTATTATTATTATTTTTAAGTTTTGCTATAGGGCACATGAACTCACTAGAGAGAGACACAAAGAGAAAGAGAGGGAAGGCGAAAAAGCAAGCTGCCAGGTCCAGGACTTGAACCGCAGTTGGCCATGTGGGAGTCCAGCGCCTCCACCACCATGCTACCTGCTGGCCCCAAGAAATTTTTTTTTTTTTAATTCAAGCCAATGGGACCAGCAGATGGTACAGTTGTTAAGATGCTGGACTCCCACATAGGTGACTGCAGTTTAAGTCCCAGACCTGGCAGCTTGAAAATCATGCCAAATGCAAGTGTGTATGTGCGCGCTCAAATTTCCCAGAGGAGATTGGAGGAGAAAGGATTGCCACCTGGCCATCCCCTCAGCGGGGATTTCTCACTTTCCCTGTCTCTGTTTCTCTCTACTTCTGGCAAGCGCATGCACCCTGTCATAAATTCTTTTTTAAAAAAAATCCAAGCCAGAAATGTTAATATAAAAAGACGGTGATGAACTGATGAAAAAGAGGTCATGTAGGGACCAGCAGTTGGCTTAATGGCTATGTCACTGGACTCGCATGTAGTTAATTGCAGTCCGAGTCCCGGACTCGGTGGCTTAAACTCACACCAGGCACATGTGCGTGTGCGTGCCCAAGATCCCGAGAGGAGAATGGAGAAGGGATTGTGCCGTGACCATCCCCCCTGGGGGGTGATTTCTCACGTTCTGTCTCTCTCTGTCTTTCTGGTGAGCACATGCGCCCTATAGCAAAAACCTCCCCCCAAATAAATAAATAAATAAAGGCCCTTTAAAGACAATAATAGTCATATTTATATTTTACTCAGTTTAAATGGACAAACGTGTACCACTTACTACATAGCAGAAATTATAAATATAAATAAGACAGAAAGCCTGCCCTCATAGGGAAGGAAAAGTAGTCCAATAAGCAAACAGGTTATTATAACTGTTACAACGCAGAGATGAAGTTCTCAGTTCCTCGAACATCCTGTCATTCAACAGTAAATAATTGATGAATGAATTATTGCTTGACTCTGTGGTTCCATTCTGC